CGCGTTGCCCGTGGGACTGAGGAGGTGTACGTTCTCGTTCCGCTTTCTGCACACGCCCCCCGCCCCGTTTCCCTGTGACACGCCCCCGTTTCCCGCGACACGCCCCCGTTTCCCCACGACACGCCCCCGTTTCTCTATGCGGAGACCTGTCACTCGCATGGGTTTGCACTCGCTGCCCCAGCTCCTCCGTCTGCTTTTCTGCCAGGTGCACGGTTCCTGGCGGGGACTTTCCTAGAGAAGACACTCGCCTGCTGTGTGCGGGCCGATGGCCGGCGGGCCCCCCGGGAGTTGGCGGAAGTCGTAAAGCTTGTCCGGCTCACGCTGGTGTGGGCCTGGCTGCAGGAGGGATGCGACCTTCGGGCCCTGAGTCCCGCGGACACTGAGGTCGGGTGTCCAGCTGGGAGCTTTGTTGGTGTGTGTGGCTCGGTCCTGTCCATCTTGCTCTGTGTTCCACCCCCTAGAAGGCTTTCTGGGGGGGCACGGGCCTGAGTCCGACCTTGTCACCCTGTGATGCCCTTCCCTCTCCTGTGAAGAAAGTGGGTGAGACCAAGGTCCCCGTGACACGCTCCCCAGAGGCATCCCCCCACCCGGCAGGTCCGCGTCGGGTGGAGAGGCTCAAGACGGATTCGGGTTGTACCAGGACCCAGCGAGGTGATGGGCGGCCAAGCCTGGCCCGGACTCATGTGCAAGGACGGCTCCTCACCCCTTTCTGCCCAGCCCACCTCCCTGCGGGAGGCTGTGGCGGGGACAGGGGGCACCGTCCGAGCCCAGCCTCCTGGGACCCGGCCCGGTTTGGCTGCGCGGTGACGCCGTGGGCTCACCCGGCACTTGATTTGCAGGCCCCAGACCTGGCCGTGAGACTCGGGGCTGCGCGGAGCTGGATGCCTGCAGCTCGCGTTCTGTGGGGCCAGGCCAGGTCCCCCGCCCCACGCCCGCCCGGCAGCCCGGCGCCCTCTCTGCTGCAGACCCTGCGCACTGGGACATGGCGCTCCCGCGCGCCGTCCTCCTGGCCGGCCTCCTGGCGGAAGTTGCCAGCAAGTCCTCGGACAGCGCGGTAGGTGCCCTGCCCTGTGGCCTGGGTGCCAGGAAGTAAGGTTGGCGCCTGCGGCCCCCAGGGCTCTGGCCCTTCCCCCTCGAGGCCCCGCCCGCGCCCTCGGCTACGGGGTCTGGGAACTGACAACTGACCCGCCGTTCCCTTCCAGGGCCAGCAGTCCAGGTGCTGTGTGGACGTGGCGGACGCCAACACCACCTGCTCCGGCACGAGCCTCTGTGGCCCAGGTGAGCATCCGGCCTGAGCCCGTGTGGCTCTCACCACGGCCGGGAGGGCAGGGGGCGCGCAGACCTCGGGGAGATGGGAGGGCACGGGACCGGAGGGGTGGCCCCACACCAGCCTCCCCTGGCTGGTG